AACCAAATTTTGGTTTTTGGTTAAATAATATAAAAGCCATTAACCAAATCAAAAAGTATCATTTTTATTAGTTTTGGTTAATTTTTTAAAAATAACTATTTGATTCAATTTTAGTTTAAACCAAAAAAATTTAGATAAAATTTTTATGTATATTTCTTATTTTTTAATTGTTATTTTATTAATTTTTACAGTTAGAAACACAAAAGTTGCTCTGATAGTGTAGGCACTATATATGGTACAATCTGCATACACTTTCCTAGCCACAGATAGTGTAGGGAAGGAAACCATCCTTCTTCGAAAATGCTGGAACTCTCTCGTACTGGAAAGGTATGTGCTTTTAGTGGGCTGCTGGTACAAGGGCGAACACTGTGCAAGGAAAACTGGTTCAGAATAAATATATATATATATTTTTTTTTTATCAGCCAAAAAAAATTTAATTTATTGAAGCACAAGGGTGCTCCTGCCCATATACAAAAGTAAGAGGCCACAACAGAGGAAAGCCAATCTCCTAAAAACCAGAAATTGACCAAGCTATAAACCACATACAATAACAAAAAGCGTCAGGTGCCCAAACCAAAACATTAGAAGACGAAACAGCCCCGCCTATCCATCAACTAGAGGGCACGCAAGCTTTAAAGAACTGCTTCCTCATCCTTTTATGATTTTTGACAGACATAGCACACTCCATATATTGGACAAGATTGCCAATCATAAAAAGAAAAAACGTAGCCATTGACTTTGGATTTTATCCATATAAATGATTTAATTTGCATCCTTTCCAGCAAGTTTTCTGGTAATCCTTCATCTTTTCGAAACACTTGAACATTCTGCTTATACCATAAGTACCAGGTGACCACTAAAAAAATACATGAACCCATCTCCTTTTCAACAATTCTGCCCAAACCACCAATAAAAAAACATTTTATTATCAAACAGGACGATGATACAAGGTATAGTTTATGTGGGAAAGCGAACGAGGAGGAGAATCATTTAATACTTTCTTGTGAATTCGCAGCCAACGTATGGGTGAAATGTTTTGACTGGTGGAATATCACTTACGCCATGCATAATAATTGGAAGATGTCTTCAACCAACATGCTTGGGTTGGTAGAAATCATAAAGGGGGGCAGGTGGGTTGGTGCTTTTATTTGGTCTTTGTGAATAGCAAGAAATGATACAATTTTTGTGAATAAACATGCGACGCCAGAAACAGTATTTGAAATGATCCAAAGGCAACCTTATTACTGGATTAGTGACAGTTGTGATAGATGGCAATACTCTTACTCAAGTTGGTGTCAGAATCCTAGAAGGTGTTGCATTGTAAAATACTTTTAAAGCTGGAAATAGGTGTAATGTTCATGTAATTTTTATGGATTTTTTATATTTAAATTGAAGTATTTTTAATACTCTAATAATAAAATATTTTCCCCTTTCAAAAAAAAAAAAAAAAAAAAGTTGCTCCAATAAAGATATGTTGGTAGATAGTGAATGCCTAAAACAATTATAAAAACTAATAAAATCAGTTATCCTCGACCTAATTACCAGTTTTTGGTTTGTGAATCTAACAATTAAAAATCAAACCAATTAAAATCGATTATAGCCAAACTTGAGTACGTAACATAAAAACCAATCAAAAGCCAACCCACCGACTATGATTTTGATCGATTTTAAATTGTCTTTCAATTGCGAATTTTTCTGTCCACACCTGGTGATCATGCTTCTATTGGTTCCCAGATTTCTGTAAGGGAGTTTTCTTCTTACCCCTTGATATATATTGGTTAAACGTTACCTTTTCTTTTTCCAACAAACAAGGTTTGAAATTCACATGAATATTTAAGACCTCGCGTGCTAGACTCAAAAACAAGTTTGATATCTTTTATTATCACAGTGTGTTGACGTACACTACTCAATAAATTATGTTTGCGCGCGATAATTGACATGATAGACATTATCAACAAATATGTCAGAATTTCTACCTCATTTGCCAGTTCCTCTTATGTGATCTTTGATCTTTCGAATGCCACCAAAAGTCAACATTCGACCCTCCAAAGGTTCAAGAGATAAAAATGGGGACCTTGTCTCCAATCATGTGTTAGAACACTTCCCTTGCTGTAAAAAGTGCATCCGAAAGCTACAATATATTCTAACTAATTCAATATCAAATTAGGTCAATCTCTATATATAAAAAGAAAAAAAAATCTTTTAATATCTATTTTTTTATTCATAAAATATAAATTCAAAACCTTATTTCAAAAAAATTAAATTCTCTTCATACTGACCAACAAGTCATTGGTATTTTTTTTTTTTCTTCTTCTTCTTTATTTTCTCCTTGAAGCCTCCCTAGCTCAAGCGCAATTGATTTAGGTACCCAACATTCTTGGGTACATGAGAGTTAGGAATCCAGACCAAAAATCATATTGAAAGAGTTCTAAGTTAAAACTCTTTTTTTTGTTGTCCATCTACTTTAACAAAAAGTTCCTTTTTAATGTCTCTA